GTGTATGTGACTGTCTGCCAGAGTCTGTGTGTGTGACTGTCTGCCTGTGTGTGTGTGTGTGTGTGTCTGTCTGCCTCTGTGTGGCTGTCTGCCTTTGTGTGTTTGTGTGGCTGTCTGCCTGTGTGTGTATGGCCTCCTGCCTCTGTGTGTGTGTGTGTGTGTGACTGTCTGCCTGTGTGTGTGTGTGTGTGTGTGTGGCTGTCTGCTTGTGTGTGCCTGTGTGTGATGCTCACCCAGTCTCCATTCCTTCAAAAAATCGTTAAAAACCCACTTCTTCATAAAAGCGTATCCTTTAAACTGTTAATAGCTCCTGACTGATTCCTCTTCTGCAACTGTCATTAGTCTAATACTATCCTTACCATTTTGTGTCATTTTACCCCACTCCCTCTAGCATGTAAGCTCATTGAGCAGGGCCCTCAACCCCTCTGTTCCCGTGTGTCCAACTTGTCTAGTTACAACTACATGTCTGTTCGTCCACCCATTGTAAAGCGCTGCGGAATTTGACGGCACTCTATAAATATCATAATAATAATAATAATAATAATACACCCATTACAGATATCACACACAGCCAACACATAGCATAAATTTCACACACAGTCATCACACCTATCACTTACACAGACAACACAAACATTACATGATACATGGATGATGGGGGGGGGGGGCGCTGTAGCGTGGCCGAGCGGCGTGGACCGCGGTACAGGAACTTTTCTTTCCTGTATCTGGCCTCCGGCGGACTGGCGGGAAGTGCTCACTCTGTGAACACTTCCTGTCAGTCTGCCGGCAGCCGGGTACAGATAACAGAAGCTCCTGTACTGCGGTCCGCGCCGCCCTGCCATGCTAAATTGAGTGTCTGGCAGGGGGAAGTGCCTATAGGACGCGCCGGCCCTGCTGCTCATTGGCACGATATACAAGGTTTATGCATTTATTGCATTAATAGAATTACTCTGCCACCCATGTGCTTTTGCCAACCATGTGTGACTGGGGGAGGGGGATGGAGTCTTAGTCCCAGGCAGTCCCTTAGTCCCCGGCAGCACAATGTCTTGGGCCAACCCTGTGGAGTTGGAAACCTGAAGTCGGAACTGGTTACTATAATTTTTGAATCCCACAAATGCACGTTTGGAAAGAGATACACACAGGCACATGTAGATACACGTCAACAAAGCCACAGAAATACATACATGCAAAGACACACACTCCCCAATACATGAGTGTCTGTTTCTCTGTCACACTGAAACGTTTATTAAACCAGATAGTATTTTAACTGTAACATATGATTGAAAAGCTACCCTGTAATGTAACTGCTGTAACAAAGTAACGCTGCAATAAAAGTGTAGAAATATATTGTATACTTTCTGTTCTAGATTTCTGTTTTGTTTTTCTACATTTTGTGCTTAGATTGTTCTGATTGCGTTCCAGCTTCCATTTCTATATAACAGTGCAATCAAATAACCAAGATTAATAATTCAAAAGCTGAAAAGTAAATTCTGAAATTGCACTCACTTTCCCTGTGGAATGTGAAGAATGTTAAATGAAATACAAGCCAACAAGCCTCACCTACCCCCTCTCTGCTGCTCTGGGGGGGGAGTATGGCTGCCGAATCTGGACATTTGCCCTCTCCCACCTGCCTCCTGCCTCCAAATGCCATGGCTGTGTTATGAAGCCAGTGAAGGGTGAGATGGAAGATGGGCAATTTATAGGGCTTCTAAGTAGAATGTAAATCTGCTGTATTGTGGAGATACCTGGCTTTGGACAGGTAACTAAACCTGCTGTATGTGGGTAACATGTTGATCATTCCCTAAACCAAGGTCCCTAGAAATAGCCATAATCATCGTATTCTAACAATTTATTTATCGCATAATGTATAAGGTAAAAATTTTACTTCTGCTTCTCTGATAACATTTCAGAAACCTGTTTGAACAAAATAAAGGATATCGTAAAACCTTTTATTATATAAAATTGTTTACCCCGTGCTATGTCTGTAGTGTAGAATGAGTAACTGAAAAATTGTAATTGTGTAAATGTACATGACTGCTAAGCACTGTAATACCAATTATTCTCAAGACACCATGACATATCTGGTAAAGGACTTAACAATTAAAGTGCTAGCATGTTAATACTCCACCATCTAGCCAATCAGTATGGCAGTAGGGAGTGTCCCCTATTATCCCCCCTATTAAAAAACAAAATAAAACTTGTTAGTGAAATGTTAAAGGACCACTCTAGGCACCCAGACCACTTCAGCTTAATGAAGTGGTCTGGGTGCCAGGTCCTTCTAGGGTTAACCCATTTTTTCATAATTATAGCAGTTTCAGAGAAACTGCTATAATTATGAATGGGTTAAGCCTTCCCCCTAATCCTCTAGTGGCTGTCTCATTGACAGCCACTAGAGGCGCTTGCGTGCTTCTCACTGTGATTTTCACAGTAAGAGCACGCCAGCGTCCATAGGAAAGCATTATGAATGCTTTCCTATGTGACCGGCTGAATGCGCGCGCAGCTCTTGCCGCGCGTGCGCATTCAGCCGACGGGGAGGAGAAGAGGAGGATCGGAGGAGGAGAGCTCTCCGCCCAGCACTGGAAAGAGGTAAGTTTTAAACCCTTTCCCCTTCCAGAGCCGGGCGGGAGGGGGACCCTGAGGGTGGGGGCACCCTCAGGGCACTATAGTGCCAGGAAAACGAGTATGTTTTCCTGGCACTATAGTGGTCCTTTAAACCTGCAACTGGGTGCTTTCATTATAGCTCCAGGTCAGTCATTGTTAGAGGCTCTGTCCTTTACGCCTGGCAGGCAGCAGAGACAAGGCATATAGAGAAGACGACAAAATGAAACAATGTTTCTATTATTCCTCGTCATTTGCAATGTTTGTCCTGACTCGGTCTTCTCTAAACTAGATTAAGGGGACACTATAGGCACCCAGACCACTTCCTCTCACTGAAGTTATCTGGGTGCAGTGTCCCAGTCCCCTTCACCTTGCGATATAAAACATTGCAGCTTTAGAGGCGTTTCCTGCCGTTTCATTGAGTTTAACTCATGAGAATGTTCAGCGTCTTGCAAAACCCCATATGGGA